AATCGCTTTTTAGACATCGACAAAAGGGTAGTCTTCTTAAAACGGGTACGCCACGTCTCGGTTCAGCCTCTTCATCACAAAATGTCTCACCTCTACTGAGAACACTCGACAGTTCCTCCTCTCGTAGCAGTCCCAACAAGGTAATCTATCTCATGAATTCTTTTTATGTGTTTTCAAGAAATATCTTGTTTCACAGGATGGATTAGTGTGAGAAAAGCGTTTTTTTACTCAACCGTACATTTCAAAAAATTGTTGACTTTTTTTGTGTAAATTATGCGCGTAGTATGTGGTCGCTGCGCCCTTACCCTTTTCCAGGCGAAAGCGTTCTAATGAAAGGATTCTTCCTTTGATCGCCCAGTGCACCCTCAGAAATTGAATTATTCATCAAAAGATCCGGTTCGGGCAATTTCGGACTAATTTGAGAAGTGGAATAATATGAGCGGAATACGATGTAGGCGGTGGTAGCGGCAGATACTTGTTTTTTACCTTTTGCGAATTTGCAGGAATAGACAATAAATCTTTCGAGATGTGACGCAAGGTCTCCGGCTGTTGTTGTCATCAGATCATCATCAGCGATAAGCGAAATTTGGGGAATAAATAGTTTGATCAAGTTGATTTATTTATGATATCTCATAGAGGACTAATTAACGTAACGGGGCACTCGATAAAATCGAGTTGTACTGAGATGTAAGGGAATGTGATCTGACATTTATAGCAATTTTATTCATGATCCCTGATGATAATCACTGATATCCATTCTATCCATGCGTAAGTTCAACGCGATAGTACTGAAAGATTTTCCTTGCTGTCACAACGAATGTAGTGGTCGAGTAGTGAGTGCATTGGCGTGCGAAAGTACAAGCCAGTTCAGAAAATGGATCAATTACTCAATTTTTTCTGTTCTTTTAACTTCTGATTAGCAGTAATTGACATAAGAGATCGATTTGAGCGCCAATATTTATAAATCAGTAGATGGAGAACCTGTTCTTATATTCAACTGGATAGTTCTGCGGAAGTTTTCCTTATTAATGCGAATGTTTTCAGTTTGCCAATTCTACGGGTACCAACGGCAATGCTTCATTACAAAATGGCGGTGAGTGTTTAATATCATTATCTGGATTACTGTGCACAAGCGGTCATGATCGTTGCTAAAGATTTGCTGTAGTGATCCGTTTCCCTTGATTGCTTCGTTCTGATCGACCTAGTGATCCATTGTTGACGACGAACTCGTTTTATATCAGCAAATCCCTTATGCGCCTGTTTGCTCATATGCGGCAATGTGTTCGTGCAAATTACCCTTTCGCTGTTATCATAGCGCGTGAGCGCGCTTTGTAATGGAACAGGCGGTACGGTATCGATGATGCATCGTCAAATGTTAGGGCTGTGACGTACCAATTGAGGAATGTTTTTGATATTTTTGCAGTAAGGTGAGCAAAATAGAGAATTGAAAAGACAGCTTCTCTGCACTACACAGTGAAAGACAGTTGCCATTAGAATATTCATGACGATATTAGCGCGAAGGTCGGTTACCGTAATAGGGAAAGGTCGTAAAGGCATAAGGCTTGGAAAGGGTAGCAACAGGTTTGGCCATTGCGCGTAGTTTTGGCTCCCATTTCCAAGGGTAATCATAGATGGGTCGAGTATGCTGTGAACGTAGCATAGGATCCCTGGTTTTCGATGCTGTAACAGTCTGAAATGTTCTGCTGACCAGAAGACAAGTCTCCTTTGTGGTTTCAGGCAACTTTTTGAAATTTTTCATTTCTGTTAAATGCCAATTTAGGATCTTCGGGAACAGCTCGAGCGACGCCTACGCAACACCTTAATAGCGAGTTGCGGAAGAAGAAGCTACGTCAGCGGATAATTCAGCTAGTCGTGTTGGGAAAATTTTCTGGTGCCGATCTAGTAAGTTTCAGTTGATTTGTTTTTTAGCATCTGTCTCCATTCCTTAGGCTTCGTATATTCTTGATATTTCTTTTTATATCTCGTTTTATTACTTCATAGGTCCTACGTCAACTGCGTAAAGATGGATTGAATGAAGAAGCGGGTATTGAGCGTCGTGTCGAAGACATTGTACGCGAAGTGTCTGAACCGTCTGGTAGCGGTTCGACAAAAATCACTCTTAAGCCATCGCTTTATGGTGAGGTGAGGGATTTTTTTNTTTTTTTCAGCAATCTGTTATTACAGATGAAGTATATTGTCGAAATCGACAGCCATAAATTTCATATGTCACTCTTTTGTGTGAACTTATAATATTCCCAACATTCGTAAGGGTTATACTTGAGTCAAAGTAATTTATCCAAATCACAGGCAAAGTAGCGGCTGTAACTGGTCGGTCTAATATAAGGAATACTGGGACGGATAATTTGGAGAATCATTCCTTCTATTAGTTTACACTGAATATTGGTACCTGTTGTTTCCTAGCTGTTTCGGTTTCAGTTTATCGGGTATTAAATTGAAGTGTTGAACAACGCCACCAGGCAAAACATCCGGTAGAATTTTGATTTGTTATCCTTATCAGCTTCTTAGGAAGTCGGGTGCTGGCAACTCGACGTCGACGTAAGTCAAAGACATAGATCACTAAAGATAAAGGGGGCTGGAGGAAAATAGTTTAATCTAGAACCGATGAATTCATTTTATGGTTTGGAAACTTCGAGCTAAGGAAAGTGAACTGATGTAGCAAATAATCATTATCCTATTCATTGAGTTCGCATGAAATAATGGCCTCTTCACATTGTATAGTGAATGATTTCCTAATGCTAAGTTTTCTAACGTGACATTGAAGGTGGATACTCGATGGTTATGGTATAACCAAGAAGAAAAAGCCTATGTACGTCGGGTCACTCAAGGCTTATCGTCGTCTCAAACGAAAAGCACTACTTTCGCACCAATGCGGAAAAGTGGCATGGAACGTATGCAGGCTCCGGGTCATTCATCTTCGAGCTCTAATTCATCGGGTCAGACTGTCAGTCCTGAAGGTATGTACCCTCCATGTAGTATATTAATGATTTATTGTGAGGATGAGAAAATTTGCGTCGCCATGGGATAACATCATGTGTGCATACATACGCGAACATTGTTTTTTTTTTATTCCTTCCGTAATGAACTGTATGTTCAGCCATTCCAACACCACCGAATTCAAGACCAGCCTCAGCTGTGTCAGCTCCGATTCGGAAAACACCGCCACCCAAAAATCCGAATACCACGGTGTTGAATGGAAGCCGGGAACAAACACCTTCGTTAGTACACTTTTATATTCTGCTATATTTTTTCTCCAAGTCTGCATTTCTTACATTT